CCGCTAGAAAAATTCCTTATAAAATGAAATGCGGTAAACCAAACCTTGCACACGACTGTCTTGTCCATGTCTCTCTTCGTTACCAGATAAGTTGCAAAAGACGATGAGACGGTCTTTGATAGGAATAGGCAAAGAATAGGCAAGGCAGCCATTAGTCCATTTTGAGTGGGTGCAAATTCGAGCACATCGCGCATGTAGTTGGGAAGGAACTGAAACCTAATCCTTAGCCTAAGCAACGGCAAGCTGGTATCTAATTGTAGAAGCTTACGGTAAAATTGATATAGTGTGTGAATCGTAGATAGAATTTACCGAAATGTTACCTGTAACATGATGACCAGCGGGTACTCGTGGCAAACTAGGGCAAAAATTGATGCCCATAAAGCCTTAGACTTGAGCATAGCCTGATAAGGCACACGACGAGAACGATCCGTTCGTTTTCCAATCGATTCACATGCTATTCTGTAATACTCCCGAATTTTGTGCCCCAAAACTGATGGTTAACAAATTATTCTGACCTGCTCTCAATAAAGTTTCGCTCTCGACCCGAAATGCAGCATTGTTTTGCCGGTTTGTCAGCCCCAAATGGGATCCAGAAAACTGTTACTAGGATGGAAATGCATGCGGAGAGATAGAATATGGCAGGCCACCCGTCGAGGATGTCCTTCCTCGTGCACAGATAGCCAGCTGTTGGTAAGATGAAGAGAGTTCCTGAAAATTTTATTTGTGAGCAAAATTTTTGGAACGAAGGAAAATCGACATATACCACACATCTATAGAAATTCACACAAAAATCATGTCGGATCAAAGCTAATGTGATCTAAGGTTTTTTGAGGTTAGGGAATCTAGCAAAGGATGTTTTAATGGTTTGGATAGGTACATATTATGCAGAATTTGCATCTCAAAAAGGAAGCAAAAATACGTTCGCTTAGTTGAATCCAACTCGAACAACTGGGCTTGAAATGAGACAAGGTCTAAGGTCTTTGAGTTTCAGCAAGCTTAAGTGAAATCGTATAACCTTGG